CTCCTCTTCCCTACACCTCCCTCCCTCCTGTCTCCTCTTCCCTACACCTCACTCCCTCCTCCCAGCAGCGCCGGGCTGACGTTCCCGTCTGTGTTTTCAGAAACTGCGCAACCCCAAGGTGGAGAAGGCCGAGATCCTGGAGAGCGCGGTGCACTTCCTGAAGGGGGAGCTGGAGGCGGGCGGCAGGAGAGCCCGGCCCGCGCGGCCGGAGCTGGGGCAGCAGCAGCAGGAAGAGGAGGAGGGGGAGGAAGCCCAGACCGGGGCAGGGCCGCGGCTCTTACCACGGCCGCCGCCGCCACCCCTCTGGCGCCACCAGCAGACGTACCGCGAGGGCATGCGCTCCTGCCTGCTGCGCGTCGGCCACTTCATCGCCGCCAAGAGCCGCGCGCTGGAGGACTCTGAGGGTCCAGGGCCCGCGGCCTGGCTCAGCCCGCCGGGCGGCGTGGGGGACACGCTGCTTCCGGTCAGCACCCCCAGATCTCCAGGCCGCGCCCCCTGGCCGGGACACCTGCAGCCCGCCGTCCCCCATCCGGCACCCAAAAGGCCAAAACTCGGGGTCTGCACCCCCCCCCACGGATCACACAGACTCCCAGAGAGCACCGGGTTCTGCCCCGGCTGGCAGGGCAGTGCCGGGTCACGAGAGACGGACCGGACCGGAGCAGCGCCGGAAGGACCGAAAGAAGTCGCCATGCCTGGCCAGGAGGTGTGGAGACCGTGGCCGCAGTAGAGCCGGCAGCCAGCAGGGGGAGCTGTGCCGGTTGGAGCAGGACTCGCCCACAGTGGACACAGTGCCTCAGCCTCCAGCACTCCTGTACACAGAGATCAGATCTTCAGAAGATTTTATATTTAACTTATTGTCTGAAGAGAAGGACTTGATGTTTTCAAGTTAATGTTAATGGGCATTATTTATAACAGCTCTCTCTCTGATCAATAGCAATCACTCCAGCTTTCTCTCATGCTGATCAATAGGAATCACTCCCAGCTCTTTCTCCTGCTAATCACTAGGAATCACCCCCAAATCTCTCTGATCACTAGGAATCACTCCCAGCTCTCCTGCTAATACCTAGGAATCACTCCCAGCTCTCTCTCTGATCAACAGGAATCACTCCCAGCTCTCCCTGATCAATATGAATCACTCCCAGGTCTCTGATCACTAGGAATCACTCCCAGCTCTCTCTCCTGCTAATCACCAGGAATCACTCCCAGCTCTCTCTCTCTGATCAATAGGAATCACTCCCAGCTCTCTCTGATCAATAAGAATCACTCCCAGCTCTCTCTGATCAATGGGAATCACTCCCAGCTCTCTCTCCTGCTGGTCAATGGGAATCAGTCGCAGACTGGGAATGAGAAGTCAAGTCAGCTTGGTGATGTCAGACTGCACCTCAAGAGTTTCATGACTAATTGGATCTGTTATTTATATTATTTTCTTCAGTCCTGACCATGAAAGGCAACCAGAGAGCTTTTGGTTTGCTCGTGTGTCACATTGTGATGCTGTAGTGAAAAGCTGTCATTTCTACTGTTTTTTCACTACTCGTCTCTCCAAATGACTTTGCCTTCTAGGTTCATCACTCAAAGCTCAGATCTTTGTCTTTTTATATTAAACAGGCAAAGGAGACAGCGTGTTTATTTGTATTTTTTATATTAAAAAACAGTTTTGTACAATACATATTTGGGTGTCCCTGGAATAAACTTATTTATGAAACAAATGGGCGTTTTGTGATGAGTCCTGATGTCTCTGTGCGCGTCTCACACCATCTCTCACCCTAAGTCTGCCCATGTCCGCCGTTTCCTCTCACTCCTGCACCTTGGTCCCTCTGATTTCCTGTCTCTCTCACTCTTCTGGAGCTCCGCTGGCATGACCAGTGAACTGGTGTTGCCACAGGAGTCACAGCTAGCGGAGAGCTGCTTTCCTGACACCTTCCTGAATGCATGAACTGCTGTCCAAGGCCCGTTTGTTATGGGGGGGACTAAATGAAAAAGTGGTTCTAGGTATTGTATGGAAGCAGTATAGTGTAAAAACAAATGACAGTCTATTTTCACATGTGTAAACCAGACATTGCAAACCTAATATGTCCTGTATGTATAGAATAATTAAAAGGCTTCACTCAGAATAAAGAACATATGCTTGTTATAAAGGCCGATTGTTGGTCAGGTTGCGACTGGAATTTGCACACTGAGCTCCCTCTGATGACTTGCATCCTCCAGTATGATTGGAAATTGTATTTTGGCAGGAATAGGAATTCTGGAATTAATTATTTTAGGTCATACTTGTATAATCCTGGAGTATTTCTTCCTGTCTCTGTCTCTGCTTCTTCAAGCCAACAGCAGTGGGAGCACAGCCTGTCCTCTCTGGACAGCCAGGTCTGTGGTCACTGAGCCTGTCTTCTCTGGACAGCCAGGTCTGCTTGTGTCCAGTGTCTATGTCCAGGCTGTGGTCACTGAGCCTGTCCTCTCTGGACAGCCAGGTCAGTGTGTGTCCAGTGTCTGTTGTAGCTGTGGTAACTAAGCCTGTACTTTCTCGAATTATTTTATGTGAGTTGTGATTTACTTGTGTGTTTTGTGCTTATATGGGAGAAGCCAAAGACACATTTCCACAGGAGTGAGCAATAAGGTTTCTCTCTCTCTCTCTC